TTTAGCGTTACTTTATGTCACAACGATTAGACAGCCTTGGCCTAGTGGATAGAGCGTCCGCCTCAGATGCCGAAGGTCGCAGGTTCTAACTCCGGTCGAGTTATACCCAAGATTTTAAAAAAAATTGTTACTAACAGCTGACTCGCTTGGCTTTCGGCATTAAGAGGTTAGTGTTAGAACTGGTTGACCTGGTGTCAGGATAATGGGACTGGGTCGGACATCATTCAATATACCTGCAGCATGATGCCCCAGTTCTTGACATCATATAAACTGTCACACTGCAAACATCGTAGCGATATGACTAAATATTGTTAAAAAGTACATTAAAAATCTAAATCACACACACACACACACACACACACACACACACACACACACACACACACACACACAGGTACACGGGTTTACAACGATTTAAATAATAATGTTCCATATTTTCTCAATTTCTTCTATAGTCCGGGACAATGTCGTAACTTTAATACAACTTTTAGTCTGAACCTATGGAATCCAATGTTCCGTGATATGTTTAGTCTCCGTTAAATTCTGGAGCAATTTAGTAAAAGTAGAAAAGAGGGGTGTAATATATTTTAAGATTAAGTTGCAATATATCGTAAAAAAGACATTTTAAAGGATTATTTAGTTGTAATTACATCGAACAGTAATAACACAAGTAAAGTAAGATTTCTATGACGGGAAGTGCTTTGTTGCCTAATGTTTTGAGTTACAGCCTCATCAATAGATAAGGTCGAAGAAAATAAGCTTTTTTGACGAGTACGGAGCAAACGATATAATTAATATGTTCCTTTGTATTTTAGTAATTGATATTTGACTTATCAATGTGATAACGAATTTTGGGTAGGGGCAGTAACTTTCAATCAGTGCAAACACAGTGAATTAGAGTGTGTAGTGTGCACAGACAAATCGACTGCCTTGTCTAAAGCCTTTGTCTAAATCGTTAACTTTGCCACAGATATTTTATAATCCTGGTATATTAATCAGAAAACAGCATAAAAGTTATAAATCCACGTTGAATCCTAATAATGGCTAATTCACTGTGTAAATGAAATCTATTTAATAAAACCTTACGATAGACAAAATATTTTGTACAAGTCTGTCAACAATTTAGAAGTTTTTAAACTTTAAGTATATTCTTGGATTTCAGTGAAAAGCTAACATGGGCACATTGATAGTTCATTATGGTCCACTAAGAGAGAACAGTGACGCAGTATCGACGAAATAATCAGTGTGGGGATTCCCAAATATATTGTGTACAATAATTATCAAGGACTGTTATCAACTGAATTGCTGACAAAACTAAATCAAATGCAAAGGAAGCACGCGAATGTGACTCATTTGAAAGAAATTTCCCACATAATTCAAGTGTCAGACCTGGAGTGTGAGAACGGATTTCCGCACCTGAATTAATCGAAACAACGCTCTGGTGCGCCCTGACTGTTGATACTTGGACGAATTTATCAGAATCAATCCTGCTGGTGTTGCTGTGAAATACTTAAAATACTTTCATCCAATGCCAGCCGAATGGCCGTACACGACCTAAATAAAAAATCAAGCACTAGCCGAATGAACGAACACGACCTAAATATAACTCAAATGCTATACGGATGGATGAACAAGACCAAAATCCAGATCAGATTAGATCAGGCAAGCAGTCAGAACGCGAAAGGGAACTCAAAATAAACATCTGTATCAACAGAACAAAGAGAATGATATCGCCAAACTGGTGAACTTTTTAAAGAGATAAATATGGTTTGCTCATACCATCTGATAAGACCTATGATGGAGAACAAAATATTTTGTTTTAATTGCTGAGTTTACATTACAATTTTGTTTTAATACATGTCTATTAAGTCCGTCAAAATGTCAGGTTAAACACTGGGACATTAAAAATTCATATATAATGACACCCCTCAAAACCTACAACTCTTGGGATTCAGATCTGCTCTCGATTTGTGAAGTTTACGGTTTACGGAAATATTTCTCGAGATTAAAAGTTATCATTCTTCTAAGCGCCTATGAATCACATCCTTCGACATGAATAAATACAATTATGCTCTTCATAAGCCTGAGGAATTAGATACGTTAGTCCACTAGACTTATCAATGATAATCTGCAGTGTTGCAGTGTTAAAATACACCGTATAATTCATAGTATTCACGGTTCAAGTGCCTGGTTTGAAGAAATCAGAGAATGTTGTCTCTTTTTTCTAACATCCTTCTTTCCCTAATGTGGTTTGTGTTAATGACTCCGTGTTTGTGTTTAGTCAAAGAACGCTCATCCTTAACAATCATGAAGTCTATAAATCTGTACAAGATTTTAAGTATCTTCGTATGTCATTGAAACTTTTTACAATACTGATTTTTCGGTCGCCGTCGGCCAAGCATCAAAAGCAAGGTCACATTTAATAAAAGAAAAATACAAAAACGTAAACAGTGGTCTAATGATCATGTATACAAATGGATAGCATCGTACGATCGGTCTAAGTTAGATAATAAGCAGAGAAAAAGTAGTTTTCTTAAAATGGCTTTCATACTAGCGCTTAGTTAAAAATAAGCTAGCACTTTTGTGTAGTACGAAGACTTTGTCAGCCCTAATCTTCATTGTTTCAACTTCGTGTGCTTTTGGAGTATTTACACCCTCTTTGTCTCACAGATCAGCCAACGACAATATTTGCTAATCGTAACCAATCTCCTCAAGCGCTGAGATAAAATACATTTCCATCTTTGATATGAGTCTATGTTTTTTAGGGTCTTTACAAGTTTAAGAACAAGATTTGGGACAGAAATGTTTTTCGGCATTATTAACTAAGGGGTTAACGATAACTGAGGGGGGGTAAGTGGTGATATTAAAGAAGGACTCAAACAAACTCGGTGTTATGGGGATTCAGAGAGAGAGAGAGAGAGAGAGAGAGAGAGAGAGAGAGAGAGAGAGAGAGAGAGAGAGAGAGAGAGAGAGAGAGAGAGAGAGAGAGAGAGAGAGAGAGAGAGAGAGAGAGATTTCATTTAAAACGTACATGTGACTCGCGTCAGCACGATTTGTGAATGACAGTTTTTCGTATTAAGTAAACAGTTAGAAAGAGCTGCGTAAATGATTGGCTGTGACCGAGGTCATTTCTAATTATACTTTGTTACGATTATACTTTGTTGCTACGGGTTTGTTACTCCCTGTATGGTTTTAGTTGTAGGAAATCGAATTGGGGTGCTTCCAATATTTATTTAGATATGCACCCACCCAGGCTCAATTATGGTTCAGAAGTCGGGTTAGTGAATGTTGGTGTATAGCTCGGAGCCCCCAGTCAGCAATGCCGACGGTTAAATAATAAAAGGTACAAAGGTGGTAATTCAATAACAACAATTTAATTAACAAATAATAGTCAATCACTCGAATTTCTCAAATGCTTTCACTCGACCCTTTGAGCCTATCTCATCATATGATTCTAGTGTGATTTTTTTTCGCTCTCCCTGTACTTTGTTTCTACTCATCTCCTGAATCCTCTAGGTCTCTCTTAATTTCCTCCAGGTTCCTTCCTCTTCTCCTCTTCCGTTCCTCCCAGATTACTTCTCCTCCTCCACTTCTCTCGTCTATCCGTCAACTCCAACTTGTCGACTCTGACTACACCGACAGTCGCACGTCTCTCTCTCTCTCTCTCTCTCTCTCTCTCTCTCTCTCTCTCTCTCTCTCTCTCTCTCTCTCTCTCTGAGACTCGAGACTTCTACCTCAAACGGGAAGTTGTCCCCCAAAAGCTTCCTGTAAAACACAAGATTGGTACACTATTTATCCTAGCTGCTCACTCCTCACACTATACATATAGCTTGTCATCAGATAAGGAAATCAAATTTCATCGATCACGCATCCATTCACACCGAAATACATATACACTCTTGTATGGTAAAACAATATAATAAAAACAGCATAATAAAACACCATCATTAAAGCAATATATCAATTACTCGTATAAACACAACTATAATTTATTAACATCAGTACATACTCATAATGCGAATTGTACTGACAATCACAATAATCAGACACATAATTTTACAATACATCTCCTACCAAGTATACAAATATTTAAGTGGCTATGCTCTGATATATTCAAACATCTATTTTAACTAGTGAAATATAACATATGAATTACATAAGGTACCGGTTACTTCGGAGTAACACATCACGACTTATAATATTGATGCTGCTGAACTAGCAATCTACATAATTCTATGTAACTCAAATTCATGTCTCAAAAAAGCTCATAAATGAAACCTACAATGTAATTCTACATACTAAATAATCCTTGTAATTGGGTAAACATAATGTCAATACTTACAGTTACGGCGCTGCAATGTTTTGCAAAAATCGAACAAATCTCTACCATTCAAATTTCTTTCTTGTTCACAATTCTTCGTCCTACGTCTCCCGCCAATTCACGAGTGGCGTGTCACGGAGTATAATTCTTACATCGATGTCTCTTCCCACCTGCCAAGGCATATACTGACTAATTCTTAGACAGAAATCAATTAATATTTTTGAATCTAGGATTTAGGTCTAACCCCCCCCACCGGATGAATTCCGATTGGATATTGTGGGACTGACCCAATACATGGGTGCAAGTTACAGGGTTGGACCCGAAAGCTGACTTTTCTGGCAACATACATAATCGTTTGACACTGGCCGGCGGCGATTATTCTAACTTCAAACACGTTGAAAATAGCCCCACGTTTATACATCCGGTTACCTAGCTTGCAGAACGTGACATACATGTTTACACTTTTGCAAAGCATGGTATGATTCGAAATCGTCACGTGTTCTTCGTGCATGTGAACATAAAATGACGTTCTCAAACAGTTTAAATACTCTGTTACCTGTAAGAAATAGTCAATCATATTCGAGAGTCATATTTTAACATCTTAGAGAGCCACATCATAACATCTTATAGAGTTTCTGTTTTGTTATTGGTGATAACTGTACTTCATGTACCCTTAAACCACTCCAGTGGCCTAGTGGTTAGAGCGTCCGCTTCGGATGCGGGAGGTCGTGGGTTTGAGCCTCGGTTGAGTCATACCAAAGACTTACAAAAATTGTACTAACAGCTGCCTCGCTTGACACTCAGCATTAAGAGGTTAGTGTTAGGACTGGTCGGCCTGGTGTTAGGATAATGTGACTGGGTGTGACATTATGCCACATGTCTGCGGCATGATGTCCCATTGCTACACATCACTATAAACTGCTCCACTGCAGACATTGTAGCGATATGACTGAAAAATTGTTAAAGCTACGTCAAAAATCATAATTCCATAATCACATTAACCTTTTGAAGAATGATTATTTCCCTGGAGAACTACACATAAATGGCTTTGGATAAAGACATTTGCTGAAATTATTTATAAACAGGACAGTACAAATTGTGATTCATAGTGAAAATCCTGGACATTTGAGTTAGCCTTCGTCTGACGTCATTATCCGCCATCTTGGAACGGTATTGAGATTCAGACAACGTGAATATAGAACTGTTTACTCACAGGACTTATGTGTTTTCACAATTTTGGGACAAGTTTTGGATCTTTTGCGTAAATTGTAAGTCTTGTTTCAAATTTTTACCTTTTCGCCGTATTTTCTAGAGAAATAAATTTTTTTGTCAATATTTACCAAGCTTGTTGTCTTCGCTCTTTTGTTTATGTTACGTTAAACGAGCTGATATGTAATAAAATATAATCTGGTCAAGAAAGATCAAAATAAACACCAAATTTGGCAGAATAAATAAAACTCTTGATGCTGTAGATGAAATAAAATGTAGATTTTTTTTTGAAGCCGTCCAATTAAGATAATTAGTTGCTGTACGGTTATAATCTATGTTTGTTGTCTTCAGTAAAGGACAGCAATTTATTACTTTATTGATCCGTCTAATGAAAACATCAAACCCTAAACCTATTGACAGATACTTGTGTGTACGCACACAAAAACACGCACGCACACACACACAAACACACACGGGATTGTTTCAAAAATTGGCACGTCAAGTTTCTTAACTCTGTGATGTGACGTTTCAGCCATTATTGGTGTTTTTCGAGTGTGTTGTTCTACGTTCAAAATGCATGCATACGTTTGGAGTTGGGGTGTATTAATTTATTTACTATGAATTTCCATTGCATAATTGAATAATATTCTTGTTTTCTTGAACTATATCAATCCAAGCATACTGAACTTTTTTTATCTCACTTTTTTATTTTTATTTTTTTAATTTTATATTAGGAAGATGGCTGTGGCATTAAATGTGTGCATAAAACTGCTTCTTGCACCTGTGCATCTTTGCAAAACATGTGTCAACCTCTGTTAGTATACAATGGCAAAGAACAACCGTTTGAAGGTATTACAGATCGCCCCTGTTAATTAGGTTATCTCGAACTTGTTGATACCAATTTTAATTGTCCTATAAGTCTCAACACTTGTTTGTTGGAAACTAACTTTTCACTATGTCCAAATCCTAATAAATCATAGGTTGATTTAAATTATCTTCAGACATGTACTGACGATAAAGTTTTGTCATAGGTTATCCGTCATATTTTTGCTAGTCTGGACCGTAGACAAAGCAAATGTGCAATAGGCAACAAGTTTCAGTTTCGGATCAGCGCCAGTGCCTCATTGTTCAGTGTGCACTGTCGTCAAAATACATACAGACAGCATCATTATTCTCATATTCTATAGAACCAGCAATTACCTTTAAATCGTGCAAAAGTAATGTAAATAATTGGTTCCTTAGAATATGATATCAGTTTATGTTAAGATACCGCACTCTGTCAAAGTGCTAAATAAAAACTTTGCACGTTTGTTACGACAATATGGCCTTAAACTATGCAACAAAAAGAACGAAAACCAACATGTTTTTAAAATTAAACACAATTTATTTCCTTAGTATACAAAGTCAAAATTTATTAAAAACAATAATCTTTTGTGAATTAAATCCCAAAAAGTCATTGTAAAGGCTGCCGCCACTGTGAGGTTTTGGTTGAAGGGGATTGGGGTGGGATGCTTCCAATATTTACTTAAATTATTGTAGCAGTCACACCCAGGTTCAATTTTGGTTTGAAATTTGATTTAATAAAAATTATATGTACAGTTCTGAGCCCCAGTCAGAAACGCCGACGGTTAAATGATTAAAAATAAAAAAAAATGTTAAGTTCAATAATGACAACTTAATAATAATTAAATGGTCAATAATTCAAATTTCCCAAATATACTACTTCCACTCGACCCTATACTAGCCTACCCCATCATTTGATTCGTAGTGTGAGAGATTTCCACCTGTCTTTGTGTTCTACTCATCTGTGTATTCCTATCTCCTAACTTCCTCTGGTCCTCCCCGACTCATTCCATGTTCCTACTCCTCCTCGTCCTCCTCTTTTTCCTCCTCCAGACAACTTTTCTCCTCCCCTTCTATCCCTGGTCATTTTACGATTGCTTTTTTCCCGGAATAATCCTATTTGCATGGCGATCTGTCTCGGCATCTAATGAAAATTTTTCAGCGAGGTTTGCCCTAATTTTGATCTAAAGTTTAATTCCACCCTCTATTTTAATTTCGATTGGATGTCGCTGTGGATTGTCCCAATCAAACAGCAGTCAATGTCTTCACGTTTGTTTGTTTACGTGGCGGGTGAGAACACGCCTTATTCACCCTGCAGTCTTTTTTTTTGATCTCTGAACTAAATTTTTACGCCTGGGTATAAGGACTACAAGCGTTTAACTAGTGGCTATTCTATAACCTGAGTGACTGGCAACTTGCATAATGATAAACACTGGCTTTGCGGTGTTCTTTACATATCAAACGCGGTAACAATATCCATGTTTATACATTTCCTGATAACCTGGCTTGAGCAGTCGTGACAATCATAAAAGTTATATCACAAATCCAAACTTATAGGGTATTCAGAAATTATTCCAGTGGTCTCCGAATGAATTCAAATATTGAATGTGCTCATACGTCCGTGGTCTGGAATTGTTTGATGTGCTAATAGTCTTGACATGTTGCAACAGTACAATCCATAATATCCTATAATGAATTAAAAATAATTTCCAAAATAGTAAGATTTAGTACTAGGTTCAAAAAGCACATCGTGATTCCAATGAATAAGTTATATAAACAAATAAAATCCTTTCAAACACGACTAAAATGCATGTCTCTATTGAATGATGTTAAGATTTATAATGTGTAATTAAGAAGTAAACAATATTTATATAAAAAGCTAAGACGCAATAACAATCAGGACGAGGGTCATTTTTGCAAATTAATTTCGTAAACAACCTGCTTCTAGAACATTCTTCATTTCTAAACAAAGCTAGATTTTGAACTCAATGTTTGTAAACATGTTTACATGTAATTAATAATACTCTTAGTATATAATCTAAAATCATAGACACATATTAGCTATGCAATATATTGGCTATAAAGAAAAGAGGCTAAATTATGTGGGTAGTCAGGCAGTCCCTTATCCTCAATAGCTGACCATGGCTATGCACATAATTTAGATATACATAACATCATACACAAACTGATGATGGAAATAACATTTTGAGAGATTAAAGTGCGTATGGCCAAATGTACGCCTGACAGTTTAACTATGGATACTGTAAGATCCTATATGATGTACTGAATGTGAAATTCTTATCCCAAACATTCTAAAATATTTGGACACTTGCTTATTTGGAACTATAACCATGCAGAAATAAAAAAAATGACCTGTTTGTACGTTCATAGAGTAATGTCTAGTGTATAGTTAAGAACTGCTATTAGTAATTAATAAAGTATTAATGAAGTAATAATTATTATTAGAAATTGATAAAGCATAAAGTAAAATGGTTTATTAGAATTGGATATCAGCTTTTATCATATTGTCACACGTTTGTCAGTCAATGTCTTAATTAAAATGAACACTGAAAAGGAATGTATTCTGTGTTTGACTTAATTCAATTTGCCATTTTCTTGCATCCAAGGTAAAAAAAATTGGGGAAAGTATATTTTATCCCTTGAGCTATATTTCATTTATAGTTTTCATTCTTTGGCAGTTTAAATTGGCTTTATAGACAACCTAAGTAGACTCTACACTAGCGTTTCATTTTCATCATCTTCTTAAGTACCATTCAGCTACGTTTATAAACAATTGCTGAAAGCCGATATGTGTTACTGATTTAATCATTTCATCGCAAACACAATTCTTGCACTCATAATAAATAGTATAAATGACCCAATATCAACATGAAATATTTCTTCAGGTGTTATAAATACAGGCTTCATTCTGATTTGAAAGCTATTTTCCTCACAGAACTTAAAATTATCAACAGCTTGTAAAGACGTAACAATACTCAGCTGTTTTTAAGAATGAGTATCAACCATACAGTCTCGATCTACACATGTGCACGTTTGTATGAAAAGGTTCAATGTATAATTTTGCTTTTAAAAAGTCACTTAAATCAATTAAGATTTAGTTTCTTAGTTCCGTTCTAAAGTCAATATAAACATAATGTCCAAAATGTCACGTTTCTACCTTTAATAATGAAATTGAGATAATAGTTCTAACTTTTATTACCATGTCTACCACATGGCTCAGATCAGTTAATTTTCCTATATATTCTCTACAAGTGTTTGTCGAAACTTTTCCACATTGTCCAAATCCTAATAAATCATATGATCTAAAGTATCTTTAAAAATGAACTCGGGTGAAGCTCTTGTCATAGGCTAACTTGTATTCTTTTGAGAAGCTGTGCTGTAAACAAAGCGCCATGCAAATATGCCACGTATTTCACTTCCTGGATAGTCACGATGACTCATTACTCGCTGTGCACTGTTGCCAGCATACATACAAAAAACTACATAATACATAATAAACAATTACCTTGAAAATATATCAAAAATGACTAAATATATTATTTTATGACCACTAAAATGAGACATGAATCAATGCTCTAAAAATAGACGAAGACTACTCTCGTGGGTACTAAACCAGAAGCTACAATTGGCCAACATGCCAAAGAAATACTTTCATTATTTTTTAGAACCAAATTGTTCTT